TTGTAAAACACATACTTAGACTATCCTTAAATCTGTATCTCTCCATCTGGTTCACAAGAATAGAAAGAAATACTTTATTAAATGGTTTGCTAGAACCTAGATAGCCATATCTTTTGCCCTGACATACTGGTTTATTAACTTTTACAGAAAAGCATATATGAGATTGGACTGAATTTATACTTTCCTAATAACCACTTTTAAAAGTACTCATAAAGCAATCATTCATAAGTATAATCTATAATTTCCCACAAATTACGTCAGTTTCTTGAATCTAAATGTGTTAAAATTGCCATTTTTTTAAACATGGGTATTCTTCCCCTTTGCTTCTCTTCATCCCCCACTTTTTAAAGGTAGTTACCTAAATATTCCATATTCTCAGTTAGAAAGCCTCCTCTGCTAATATTTCATTGAGTCAAGAGACATATTGGCACCGAGAGTAGCCATGTAGTCCCAGTATAGCATGTAGGTGAAGTACTCAGACTGTGTACTTACCATATTGGCTCCAATTCTGAATCCATACACCGTAGTATTTGATCTTGGGCAAATTATTCCACCTGATAAGAAAGCATGCTTTATAGTATTGCTGTGATTATTAAATGAGCGACTGACTGCATATAAATACTTAGTGTAACACTAGGTGCTCAATACATGTTATCTACATTATAATGCCATTATCTACTTTTTCTTTCAATTTTTAGCCAAAGTCTAATTGTCCTCAGTTCATTCTTGGACACGTGCTTATTCAATAGTAGCACTTGGCACATGAAGGTTGTAGAGATACAATAGTGAATAAACCAAATTCCCTGCACTTAGGGGGCTTACATTGCAATAGAGAAGAAAGAAAATATCGAAGAATGTAAAATAGTGAAAGTCAGTGATTGGAAGAACGAAAAGTCTCAGGGTTAGATAATACCCATGAGAACTATTTTAGAAAGAATGGCTGAGGTTCTCTCTGCAGACATGACATGTGAGCAGAGATATGAATGAGCCAACAGGGAAGAAACATAAAAGAGTACAGACGCTTTGCTTTCGCTTTTTCATGAATGAATTTTATGTCTTCAACTTCACGAAAATGGGCCTATTTCTTTATTGATCTCCCTCCTCATTCCATGCGAAGGAAAAGCATTTTGAGTTCTCTTGAACAGTATCTTTCACAAGCCCCAGCTCATTCTGTGCTTTAGTCTTGCTGAAATTTTTATGGGTCTATGCTACCTTCATATATTTGTACTTGATTATCTGTCCCCTTTTACCATCTTTTGCACATGCTGTTTTAAATTCAGAGCCTGTCAGTGAGTCCCTGAGCAGCACACTGGTTTCTTTAGTTTCCTCACCATTTTCTTGCTCATTAGAATCATTTGTGTTTGCATAGGCAGAACACTGCTTAAATCAAACTCTAAGAGCGCATGGTTGCTTTTCCCCAAGGTTCCAATCATTTCCATTTTACCTACTGGTTTCTGTCAGAATTGGGTCCTAAGCAGGAGTTCCCCTTAATGCTTACTCTGCCTTCTGGGAAATGAAATTATCAGCAAGGCCGGTCAAGAAATTGTCAGTGTTTTGCTTTCGAAGGAATGAAAGTTTCTACAGATACTTGGAGACTAAAAATCCCTAACACCAAGATATGTTGCTGCTCTGCCAATTTGGTAGTGTGCACTGGAGACGCATCCTCCCCTTCTCTCCTTGTGCCTGGAAGGTCTGTAGTGCGTTCACATAGTGCTATCCCTTCTCTATGTTTCTCATTATACATACATACATACATACATACATACATATATATACACACACATATATACATATGTAGATTTTTCTCCGGTGTTCTTCCATCCATAGGTTCTTGGATTTACATTTGGGTGCACAGCTTCTAACTTGCAGGGACTACCCATCTACCTCCCAATCAGGTGGATCAAATTAAACTAGGGTAGATTACAAGTGAAATTGTTCACATAACCAAGCTCTATATCCAGGAAATCAGGAAGCTGCTTTCTAGTTTAATCTTAACAAGCAGCATGAAATAGTAAAATGTTCTGGAATCGAAGTGGATTCTATTCCTCACTGAACCATGGAGAGTGAGGAGAGGTTTTTGACAAACTGAAGATTTATCACATTAGAAATGAAGGCCCTCCCCTCCCCCACTAGGTTTCATTATTTTATATGTAGGGCTCTTATAAGACTTACAGTGAGCAGTAAATGCATCGTTTATTATAACTTTGAAATAAATGTCGTTTATTGGGCTTAAGGGTGAAAGCCGTGGACTCTCTACTTTTACCGATGAGCAAACCATGGCTTTAAAAAGTTACTTGATGTCTCTAACCTCTCACAGCTGGTTGGGGACAGCACCACGACTACATGACAGGTTCCTTTTCCTTAGGCCAGTAAATTTCACCCCTACTTACCAGGTTACCTTCTACTGGTAGCCCAGAGATTTACTTCTGCTTCTGTGAAATGGAAATAATGCCATCGCCCTTCCTACCTCACAGAATTGTTGTGAGAAAAGACGGAGAAAACGAGTGGTGTGTAATAATAATGGTTGTGTAAGGTGGTATTATGATGATAATGACTTTAATGATTTAATCGGTGAGTTTCTGTGGATGTTTTTCCTTCTCGTATAAGTGATTTGCATTTTAAATTCTAGTCAGTGTTGAAATGTGCTTACTTCCCGTTGTAGATTTAACAACCTGCGGGCTGCATCGCCCCCCATGGAAGGAGAAGCCTAGGTTTTGGCATGCCTGAGCCCCGGGTGGTAATCCTGCTTCTGTCACTCTCCCGTGCGTGACAATACATTCTTTTAATCTTTCTGATTTCAGTTTTCTCATCCGTTAAAGGGATAAGCATTCCTATCTCTTACAGTTGTGAGTGCTGATACAAAAGGCTCCGTATAGGTGGCTTTTTGTTTTAATGTTTTCCTCCTTCCTCGGAGTGTGAACTTCTTGACAGCAGACACTGTTTATCTATCTTTGTATTCCTACAGTCAGGCACTCAATATCTACACAGTATGTTTGTTGAATGAATTATTTACCAAGGTGAACAACATGGAGTGGGTCTGAGGGTGGCAGCATTTTGTAGGTCAAGGTTTTTCCAATTGTACCCTTAACACCACAACATAGAGCTTTTTTCCTGAGAGGCAGCAGAAGTTGCACTGATGATGCAGTTATAGCTGAGGGTGAATGTTACCTCTCATGCTGCCTTTTACATTTTGTCAATTAAGCATATTTTTAATCATTTGAGAGGCTGAGAGAGAAACAGGAAGATCTCCCTTCTATTGGTTCATTCTCAAATGCCCACAAGGACTGAGCTGGGGTGGACCCGGGAATGGGGAACTCAGTTCAGGTCTCCCACATGGATAGCAAGGATCCAGCTACAGGAGCCATTAACTACCAGGGCCACCACTGCTGCCTCCCAGGACCTGCATTAGCAGGAAGGTGGGATCGGGAGCTGGAGCCCAAGATCGAAATCAGGTCCTTAGATGTGGTACTCCAATGTGAGACCTGAGCATCCTAACGTATGTGTTAACTATGAGGTCAAACACCCACTTCCCTAGCTTGTTTAACTAGAGCAAATATACTATGTGTGGGGAGCAACCGGACTAGACTGAGTTACTGGAATTAAGACTTATTCTATGCATCTGCTCTCCCACAATATGGCGCTGGGAGAGAAGTAAACAGCTTCCGCACAGCTGCCTCCAGTTCAACTAATAAACTGTAGGACTTGCTATTGATTGGAGGAGAGCAGCGTACTCGGCGTGTGGGCAGCCAAGTTAGGATTGGCGGAGGAGGACTATAAAGGAGGAGAGAGACGGCATGCACCAGGAACATCTAAGGGGAACATCTAGCTGAAGGAACACCCGTGCAGCCCCCGAGAAAGCCGGCCGGCGGTGTGCCGCTCCCCTGCGGAAGTGGGGAATGTGGCCAGGGGGAACTGCCCTTCCACGGAGGTGGAAGGGATAGTAGCCAACCCGGGAGGAACCAGCAGCAAACCCGGGGAGGGCCGAGCAGACGAAAGAACAGCGCAGGGTTCAGTGTTGCTCCTCCACGAAGAGGGGGAGCGACACTATGTAAGATTGTTTTTAAAGGGAAAGATTTTTCAGTTAAAATAAAGCTAAAACAAGATATGTAGCTGGACTGTATAAAGGTTTAAAAGGAGTCTTAAAGACACAACATGTACCATTCTTTTTACCATTAGGCACCTAAGGCAAGTTAACCACTGTGTGCCACAATTTCTTTACTTATCATAGGACTGATAGCATTTCAGATTGGTGTAAATGGGCAGGAAGATATCACATGCATACCTGCTGTTTTCCAGTTTATTTAGCCAGGGATACAGAAGTTGGATCCAGGTGGCTGCATGTAGCAGGAGCAGGTGCATGCAGACACAGCATACTTTGGCTTGACTTTTCTCTTCCTCTGGTTCCCTATGGGCCACACAGCTGCCAGGGACATTACTGCCAGGGTTTTAAACTCAAACAGAACCATGGCCTACATCTGTCCCTATAAGGAAATGTTTATGAACATAAATGTTTATATACCAGAAGTAGGCTGGTATAAACAAGAGAGCCTCTCATAGGCAGGATGGGGAGAAGCAGGCAAAGTCAGAGCCAAGGGTCTCTGAATAGTGTCTCTGCTTCCAGTTCCTAGTGTTCCCATCTCCCTAGAGGTTTATTTGGAAATCAAAGTGGGAGTTGTGCTAAAATACTTAACAATGTGCAAATGATTGGGGCTGGGCAGCAACAGGTCAGAACAGATGTTGGTCATAAACTACCAGCAATCCCTGCCAGTGAACACCGGCTGAATGCCAGCCCTGAAATAAAGTAATATTAATATGTCCTCACAAAATCTGCCATATAAAAGGTACTGGATTCATATTTAGTCCCCACTTTGCTCCTCTCTGCCTTTAGAATTAAATCCAATAAAAACAAAAATGACAAATCCAAGAAGAAAAAATCCCAAGTAACGCAAGAAGTCAAGCTTATTATTTTATTAGTGTAATCTATTAATGAGGGAATACTTTCTAATACAAAACCCATTTTGTAGTTTACAGTAAAGTGGATATACTTTAAAAATATATTGTAAACTATTCCCTGAATTAGAAGCTGGCTGTTAACCAATAACATATCTTACTTACACCTATGACTTATCACTTCTCTCTTTCGAGTTTATCGTTTTCCCTGCGAAGAATGGCTATACATTAAACTAATTAGACTCTATCAATTGCTTAAAAGCAATGCTTCCCTGGAGTTGACAGTGGAAACAGGGAACACTCTACCAAAAATCATTTGGATCTTTCTCCCCTCCCTAAAATTTTGCAGATTTTGGTGTTCTCCTCACAAAGAATCTTTGAAAGAATGAGCCATGTGAAGAATGTGTAGGATTCCTTAGATTACTTACCCAAAAACCAAAAAGTTGAACTAGGCTTTGAGGAGTTTTATTGATTAAGACAACAGAGATACAAGGAAGGACAAGGGCCAATGTTGTGGCACAGAGGGTTAAACTGCCTCTCGCTAAGCTGGTACCCCATATCGGAGTGCCAAATCCAGTTCTTGCTGCTCTATTGCCCATCCAGCTCCCTGCTAATGTGCCTGGGAAAGCAGAGCAAGATGGCCCAAGTATTTGAGCCCCTGCCACCTTGGGGAGATCCAAATGGAGTCTGCTTCCCGGCTTTGGCTTGGCCCAACCCTAACTGTTGTGGCCCTTTGGGGAGGTAATTAGGGAACTGAAGATCTAATTCTCTCTTTGCCTTTCCCCAAGCCTGACTCCTGCCCCTCTGACTTTCAAATAAATATAAAGCTTTTTAAGAAAGAGAGGGGAGTTGGCATTGTGGCATAGCTGGTAAAGCTGGTGCCTGTGACGTCAGCATCCCATATCAGAGCTGGTTCATGTCTCAGCTGCTCCACTTCTGATCCAGCATCTTGCTAGTGGCCTGGGAAAAGCAACAGCAGAAGCTTCGACCTGGCCCAGCACTGGACCTTTTGGTCATCTGGGGAGTGAACCAGCAGTAGATGGGAAGCTTCTCTCTCTGTCTCTCCCTCTCTCTCTCTCTGTAACTCTTTCAAATAAATAAATAAGCTTTTGAAATAATAAATATTAGATGCTTTAAAATTAAATTAAATTTAAAAAGAAAAGGGAATGGCTGGGGTGAACACTCAGCCCAAAGGTCAAGACATTGGCTAAGATGCCTGTGTCACACATAGGAGTTCCAGGATTTGATTTTTGGTGAACTCCTGACTTTAGCTTCCTGCGAGTGCTGTTCCTGGTGGGCAGCAGTGATGCTCAAGTGGTTGGATTCCTATCACCCACGTGGCAGACCTGGACTGCATTTTGCAGCTCCTGACTCCACATGAGGCCATCCTCTGCTGCTGGCATTTGTGGGGATGGACCAGCAGATGGGCGCTCTCTGTCTTTTCTAAAAAAAGAAGGAAGGAAGGAAGGAAGGAAGGAAGGAAGGAAGGAAGGAGGGAGGGAGGGAGGGAGGGAGGGAGGAGGAAATGGATGTTTGCATTAGAATAAAATGGAACTGTATCTACTTGAATAGCAGAGAAAAGATAAAGGGAAGGCAAGTAATTGAGCAGACTCACCACTTAAGGAGTTTTTTCTGGTCTCATCATCACATGATGTTTGGGCTGGGCATTGAGAATCCCAAGACAGTTTTCTCTTTGTGTGTCTGTTAAAAAGCATAAAGACAAACTTGCGGCTTAGACCTATCATGCGTGTGGGCATGCATTGCCTGTACTAACTTTACTCGCTTTGAAATTGTCAGTCTAGTTTCTCTTTGCCTTGGCATTTTTATTCTTATTTTCAAAAATTTCTTATTGTTGGGGCTAGCTTTGTGGTGTAGCAGGTTAATCTGCTACCTGTGATGCCAGCATCCCATATGGGCACCAGTTCTAGTTCCAACTGCTCCACATCCATCCAGCTTCTTACTAACTTGCCTGGGAAAACAGTGGCAGATGCCCAAGTCCTTGGGCCTCTTTACCCATGTGGGAGACCTGGAAGAAGCTCCTGGCTTCAGCTTGGTCTTGCCCTAGGTGTTGGGGCCATTTGGGGAGAGAACCAGTGGATGGAAAACTTGTGTTTTTCTCTTTGTCTCTCTCTCTCTCTCTCTGTAGCGCTTTCAAATAAATAAAAATAATCTTTTTTTAAAAAAATCTTATTATTTGTAAATCCCCTTAATACTTTTTGGAGCCTGACTGTGAATATGTAAATAAATATTGGGATTCCTAACAGATAAATAATCGTATTCATTTGTGTTTGGCTCTTTCAGAGAATAATAAGTTTAACAAGGTGTTTTTCCAATATCCCTTTGAGGTCAGAAAGCCATGGATTTAGGTAAAAACTGAGTACTTTTGATTAAAGAAGAACAAAAATCATAAACTATGGACATAAGACCCTTCAAAAGTATATCTTGAAACATTAAAAGTGCCAGCAACACTAGCATATACAAGTTGATAGCAATTTTATGTAGTCAGTATAAAATTTTATGTAGTCAGTATAAAGTCAAAATGTACTAGACAATTCTTTGGTGCAATATAACACAATAAGTAAGCTAGAATGTTAAAAAATTGGTACACATGAGCTTGTACAATATTGGGCATTTATGCAGTGGCATTTTGAAAAACTATCAACTATTGTAAGCTATCAACAGTACCAAAATAATTACACTTATTCAAAGAGTTATGATGTGCCGAATGCTACCTGTATTAATTCATAGCACCCTTTCAACAACACTATAATACAGGTGTAGTTATTATTCCTCATCTATAAAGAAAGGAACAGTTGAAGATGAGCATCCAAACTTGCTCAAGAACACACAGCATGAAAACACTGGAGCGCCGCGGCTCACTAGGCTAATCCTCCA